TTTTCTGAGACTCCTGGTTCCTTGGTTCGGGGTCTCTTCTTGGGTTGGTCTGCTCGGGCTCTGGTTCTGGCTCGAGGTCCTTAAGAGTAACGTTTGTCCCGAGCTCTCCAGCTAGGAATTTGGTTGCTAACTTGGCTCCGAGGCTTCGGCATCTCGAGGTATGATGGCCGAAAATTTTGTGGTGTTCGCAATATTCTTGATCATTGCTCGGTGGCTGATCCCTTGTCCAAGTGAAGGATTCTCTTGCTCGTCCACGGCCCTGGCCTCGGGGCGTGTCAATTTGATAGATATGGTATCCTGAGAAATTACGCCCTTCGTGGTGCGTATACGTACCGTTCTCACGTGTCTTTTTCTGGACCGGAGGCGTCGCTTGGGCTTTCTCGGTTTTCTCGGCTCGGGGCGCCTGTTTCGTTGGCTCGTGCCTCTTTGATAGCAGCGCCATCTCTTCTTCATGGGCGACGAAATCCGAGGCTCGGTGCAGCGCATCGCGAATTGTTGTCGGTTTAGACAGATTCAACTCTTTCCTGAACTCTGACTTGTACCAGAGAGCTTTCTTTAAAGCCAAAAGAGCGGCTACATCTGTAATTCCTTCTACCTTGGCTAGCGTCGATTTGAAGGTTTTGAGGAAATCTCTTAACGGCTCGGTGGGCTGTTGAGACAGGGACCACAGATCCGCGTCGGAGGTTCCGGGGTCGATGAGCACGGAGTATTGTTTGAGGAACAGTGTCGACAGTTCGTTGAAACTGTCAATCGAGTTTCGTTCCAATCTTGAAAACCACTCTAATGCGGGTCCTTTGAGGTGTTCCACGAACAGTAGGCACAGACCTGCATCCTTTTCCCCGGGTTTGAACCTGGCTCGGGCCACAGATATCACGAACGATTTAATGTGGCACTTAGGATCGGTTGATCCGTTGTACGAGTCGATTTTGAACTTTCCCAGATTAGAAATCGTCGTTTCGGAAATTCTTTTGGTGAAAGGAGTATTCCGAGATTCTTCTAAAATTCGGTCGATGTTCGGTGCGGAGGATGAAACGCTATGTATCAAGGTTTTGACGAGCTTCATATCAGCTTCCGCCTTGGCTAGGGAGGCTCGGATCTTGATTAGCTCATCTTCTCTTTCAGATTCTTCGGCCCACCTTATGTTTTCCTCAGTTTCTTCATCGTCAGTGAGATCTGTTCGCTCGGCGGAGTTAGCTCCGGCTCGGATACGCTCATCTTGCAGATCGTCTGGCTCGTCCGTTAAATCCACTGCGTCTGGCTCGGTGGGGTCATCTTGGTTCTCGCGTCTGGCAGGGTCGGCTCGGGTTGCGACTCTTGCGTTGCCGGTTGGTGTCGCGAACGTGAGTCTTGTTGGGTTGATGCCAGGTAAATCCCTCCGAGCTCGTGGCGGCCGAGTCTGGAAACGCGTTGTTTTTGGTTGCCCACGTGTTGCGATTTCGTCGACTCGCTGCGCCAAAGTTTTGTTAGCTTTCTCTTGGTCGTCAGCTTTCTTCTGGAATTTAACCATCAGGTCTTTCAGTTCGGCTAGAGTCGCTATGATCGTCGGATCGGCTTGAGGATTCTGAGGGTTCGGAGGGTTCGGGATCCCTCCTCCAGCTGGTGGTGTCTGACGACCGTCTTTGTTCATCGTCCTTTTCGGTAATCGAGTTCTGCGTCTTAGGGTAAGAGAATTCTAAAGTATCCCAACAGACGGCGCCAAACTGTGGAAGTCGAAACTAACACAATCAAGATTTGTCTAGGGTTTTATTTTAGGGATACGATAATCGTGAATTCTCAAAGAACAACAGAACGATTGTAACCAGAGATGGTGTTCTTGATATTATTAAGAAAAAGATGACTTTGATCGTACAAGAGTTTGATCGAAAAGGAAAAAGATGTTTGTGCTGTGAGAGCTTTGCGTAGTGTAAATTCTAGAGCGATATTGCCTGCCCCTTCGTTTGAGCCTTGAATCTCTTTATATAGGGATGAATAACCGCCTCTCCAGCGATATTCTCGGAAGATTTCCATTTATCTTGAAGTCGGCCAGAATATCGTGGATTAGGATAATTTCCTTATTCTTCGGAGTTTTTTTGGAAGACTTCCTGATTTGAGTTGATCCTTCGCGATTCTTCTTTATCATTTCCGAGTTTATCGGAAATGATCCTTCTTTTTCGGAAATGATAACTTGCTTGGAAATGATACCTTTGAAGGAAAATATTTACTAAGTCTTTGCCTCGGGTGATGACGAATACCTCGCCCTGGAGAACTTATGCAATCGGCTCGGGTGCACAGGAAGGATCGGCTCAGGTACCCGAGGCGACTGGTTCGGGTAACCCGAAGTGATGGCCTCGGGTATACGGAAGGAAGTGGCTCGGGTATCTTGGCGTGAACCGGCTCGGGCGGTTGAAGAGCTGGCTCGGGTTGCGAGTTCACCTGTGGACCCCGAGGTGACCGGCATGTTGCCCCGAGGCGGATGTCTCTTTGCCCCGAGGTGAACGGCTTGTTTTACCTAGGTGATTAACACATTTCCCCGAGGTATTTTCAGAAGTTCCCTGAGGTGTCCACAATCCGGCTCGGTGCTAGGGGATGGGATCCGACCCCAACACGGTTAGCGGAAAAAGAGGCACAATTGTGCCAATCAACTCAAATCAAGCTTATTACTGAAAATCAGGATTCTATAGGATTCAAACCATGAAGCAAAACCAACACAATTCAAAAACGGGAGAAGCCTATAAATTCTTTCTTTCATCTTCAATCTGAGACTGCAACCAAGAAGGACCTCCAATTGAAAGGTATGAGCGGAACCTCCCATCACGAGTCACGCTTCGAGCAATGTCACTTGCTATAGAGTTGGCTTGTGTTGAAGACAACTTAAAAACAGGGCTCTAAAACCCAGACATGAGACTATGGATCTTATCGAGATATGAACGATAGCGAGGCCACTCCAGAGGCTCAAGGAGAGCTTTAACAGCAGCATTACACTCAGACCACACTTCCACAATATTGAGAAATTTAAAGCCATCTTTTAAAGAAATTTAAAACTAATTTTATTTCAATTTTGGAAACACCTAGTGTGATACAAAATCCTATATATATATATATATATATATTAGATATCCACCCGCGGTACACCGCGGGCCTATATTTTTGTTAAAAAGAAATATAAATTTTTATTGTAAGGCTTCTCTTTTACATATATGCTATTATTTTTTATTTAAATGTATATATAGATATATACTGTAGTATTAGTATATTTTAAGTTCATTTTTGAAATATAGAGATAGAGAAAATTATATAGTTCATTACGTACTGATATATAGGGTATTAAAACTTGGTTTGTACTATTTCTATTGTTTCACCAAAAAAACAAACTATTGTTTTCAAAATCTTATTATCGTGACCTTTATTTTTACATGTTCTAAAAGGGTTTCAAGTATGAAAGACTCCTAACGGATAACATGAGAAATAAAGGATAGATCACTTGAAAAACTTTGAAATCTGTTGATTGGAAACGTGTGTGTTGATGAATGAAACGACTGCTCTCGACATCTCTTATATAGGGAACAAAAAAATTAGAGTCTTCTAAATTATTGTTATTTTTTTGGTAGTGAAATTAGATTTTGAGATACAAAAATCTTATCTGAGTAAACTAACAAATCCAAAATATTGTGATTGAATAATGATTATCTTGTTTTTAGAAAGATTGTGATCTTTAGAATATTGTTGGAATATGCCAAAATCTATAGCAAATAAATGCACTTTTTTCTCTTCTATTTACGTAGTTACAAAGATATATCCATATGAGATTGCAATCTTTATGTATATGAATTAGTTTCTTAATAAATGTTAAATAAATCGAATCTTCGTGTAAACAATTAATCCCTGTTTTATTATGTGCATTAATTTCGGAAACAAATTAGATTCTGGAAACTAATGTTTAAATTTTCCTAATTAAAAAAATGAATTAATGATTTATATTGTATTAATTATTTATGATAAGGTATGTGGAATAATCATTAGAAATTTAGATTTGATTTTGATTTTATTGTTGTAGTAGTTTCTATTTGCTAGATATTTTCGATATTATGTTTAATAGTATTTAAAATTAAATATTTGATTTCCATATCTTTGAAACTCAAATCTAAAAATTAGGGATGTTTAGTTAGTTAATTTATTGTCGATTTGTTTCTAAAGAATTTCAAATATAAGATTGCAATCTTTCCAAATATATGGCTATTTATTAGGAGCATTAATAAGAAAGATTATTTAGGATTAAAATAGGTAACTTAAATATGGATAATAAAAGAATTAATTTCGTTTTAATAAATGTGTTAGTGTTATACTTATACCCGATTGCCATAAAATCAGGTCGTTTTAAAGTCGATTTGTTTAAAAATTTCCTAAAATTCCTTATCCAAGATCCGGATAAAGTTAAACCCGGGTAAAACCCGGATCCAAATGAATTAATGCAAAAAATACCCTGTAAAAATGTATATGTAGATTACACATTTAGATATTGACCCGTGGGACAATTTTGACTTTTTAATTTTGTTCTTCATAAATTTATGATTTTCGTAGTATATAAAACTGATTGGTGGTGTATGGTTTTTGATAAATTTAGCTCTTATAGTTAAATGTAGTATTATTTATATTCATATGTATGACAAAATATTTCTTAAATTAAATAAAAGGGTTTGTAAAATTATTCACATACCAAAAATTCTGCCCATTTTCATGGATACGGGATCTTTGTTTAAACTGAAAATTATAGATTTTTTTTTCTTTTGATTTTTTGAACTTTTTATTAAAGTAAAAAAAGTATTTGTAAAATAATTCACAAACCAAAAATTCAGCCCGTTTCTATGGAACAATAAAAAGATTACACCAATTCCAAATCATTTTTTTCAAAAGTGTTTAGTATAAGCAAGAGCCTTAAATTAACACATCAAATACCAAAAGCAGAGTATAAATAAATAGTTACATGGAAGAGTAACTCTTGGTGCATGAAAGTCAAATATTAATTGAAAGAATACGGTTATTTGAAAGAGCAAACAAACAAAAAAGCAAACATTGGCTTTCACATGTTCTCCTCAGGTACACATAATCCAGCCAAACATCTTCTTCTTGCAAACATAAAACATATAACGAAACAACAATATTTAATATACAGAGGAAATCTCTTCATCATATTTGAAAACAGTCACTAACCCTTACATGTATACCATCTCTTCCTCCACTGACTTCCCTGCGGATCAAAGACCAACCTTAGAACTGCTTTACCCTCTTGTCCTTATGCTCCGGAAATCATTGTGCGAATTATGATGCTATCAAACTGCTCGTCGTCCTTCCTTCTCAATTCCAATTATCTTCATGTGTGAGTTTGAATGCACAGATGGGACGAAGGTCGGGCTTGAGGCTGGTCGGTAATAAAGCGAAAATTTCCAATTCCTGAATCCAAACACAAAAAATGAAAATATAACATTATATACTAAAAACGGAAACTGAGATTTTAAAAGAGAATAAGCCTAGCTTACCATCATCCTCTAAAGAGAAAAATAACAAAGCGTTTCACATGCAAACCCAGATTAATAATATAATTAGACTATTTTCACAATCTAATACATTATTGGTAATTAATATCTGAATAATGGAAATATAAATGCAGGTGAAGAACACGCGCAGTGGCGGTGGGCACAAGGAATCTGAGGCCGAGGAAGAAGCATATACCCCTACCCAATATCAATACGCCATGCCCTGGGAGGAACAATTTAAAAAAAAAACAATTAACATTCTACGAAAAAAAATCAATAAAATAAAAAGAGAGAAAGCACCACGTGGATAGCTACCTGGCGATACAGAAGGCTTTGTGTGTTTGATGTTGTGATTTCGGTAGAAGAATAAAAAGGCTTTGTGTGTTTGATGGTGGGATGAGAAGTGAAGCTAAAGAGTTTATATAGGCGTGGAAGATTAGGTTACGAAAGTAGTGGTGGCCAAGGTAAATATTCATGCTTTAATCTTTTTAATCAAATCATTCTAATCGGATTTTTTTTTAGGAATATGCTTTAATTCCGATTTTGTATAGTAGTAAATAATTTCCTTAATTCAGTCGGTATGAATATTTGTCAACGATTTCTAAGGACAATATTTTTAAAAAAAAAATCAAATAAAAACAATGAATGCTAATGGTGAATGAGTTCAATCTTTGATTTCCATTTCATTGTTTTCTGATAGCATTAATGTCTCAAATTTGTTATCGTAATCTTAGGGAATATTGCCGTAAATCTCTGTATAGATATTTCATTGAAATATTTCAGCATTAAATGTTTTTTTTTAAATGTATTTATAGCAAGTGACTAATATTCCTATAATTTCGATAAAAATGTATTAAATTCAGTTTGTTGTTTAGAGAAATAATTAATGGAAGATCCGATCGAGATATTCTTAAGATATCGAATTGAATATCGTCGGCCTATAATAAAATAATCGTTTTTGATTTCAAAATATTACCTTAAATAGAAATGAAATGAGGATTGTTGAGATGTTTTAGAGATTGTGTCGTTGGGAGTAATTAATTGAGAGAAAAAATGTCCGAATAGAGATTATAGAAAAAAAGAACCAATTAATGTGGGAAGAAGTTAAGGAAATAGAGTTTAAATAGAATTTAAGAATTAATGACGTTTTTTATTACAACATTCCTTAAACCTCTTATCCTAGATCCGAATATGATTAAACCGGGTAAAACCCGGATCCAAATGAATTAATGCAAAAAAACCCTGTAAAAATGTATATGTAGATATATATATATATATTAAACGGTAATTCTCAAAACACCACACTTTCAAGTTTTGTTGCCAAAAATTCCACTATTAGTTTAATATTCCAAGAATATCAGCAATAGTCTTGATTTCCAAAAATACCACAAACACAAAAATTGATTTTCAATGTTTATAATTTAAAATTTTAGGTTGGGTTAACTAGTTTAGAATTAGGGTATAGTTGTTAGGGGATATGATTTAGTGTTTAGGGTTTAGTTTTGATTATTGAAAGTTAAATTTTAGTTTTGTGGTTTTTTTGAAAAACCAAAACTTAGGTGGTATTTATGAAAAACCAAAACTTTAGTGGTATTTTTGAAATACTAAAACTAAATGTGGTATTTTTTTGAATTACCCATTGTAACACCCGTCCCGCCATAAAGGATAGAACTATATGTTATTCATCCGGTCTTGCCAAAACGTTTCTTTCTTTAAAATTCAACAACTAACAAACATCAACCCGCAACTTTTGAAACTTACTAACCTGGAGAAAAGGGAAAAAGATGTGTGTGTAAAACAAGTTTACTCAGTGAGGAGATCAACTATGCCCACGGGACGTACAATAAACACGTTCCAAACATAATCAACAACCATTACTTAGCATAGACTATCAATCAAATAAACAAGCATTCGCCTTTCTCACAACAAGATATTTTACTTTCATTTTTAGTTTTAAGTATTTTAACTAATGGATACTCGAGCTTCTTTTAACTCATGGCTACTCAAACCTACTTATGGAAGACCACGGCCCGTAGCTCGATCCTTCCCCTTATTGCTCGTCAGCGATTAATGACCTGTATATGAACCCGTCGGTCCATTACAGTCCAACCTCCTCGAGTATCCTTCACATACTCTTAGTATACTCTTATAATCATTTTTATAATTTAATATACGATGAACATGATATCAAATCATGTCTCTAATGCATTTCACATATCATGTTACTAACCGCCTAACTTTATCATACGCACAAATTCACATAAATCAACAAAGATAATTCTCGAGCCTATACTCAGCAAGTATATAAGGAAAAAGTTTACTGCATATCCGCAAATACCACCCTCAGCTTAGCCTAGTTGAAGATGAAGAACAACTCTTCCCCTTTCTTCTTTAGACAAATTACTAGCTTGCCTCCAACCGCATACTAATGAACTCCGCCTTGGCTCTCCATTAACCAAGAACTAAGACACTGAGTCTTGAAAGCTCTTGCAGCTCGTTTACCCAACCAACAACACAAACTCGTCACAATTTATTCTATGAAAATCTGTCTTGGAAACATACACATAACTAAGGAACTAACCGTTAGAATTTTAATCGCACCGTTGAATACGGAGCTTGTAGTATCATGAAGAACTAAACTAATTTCCAGTCAGATCAGACATCAGATGAATCTCCCACGTTCTTCTGAATATGCTGCGTCTGATCTGTTTTCTAGGGTTCTATGCTTACCAGTTTTTGACAGATTAACTGGTTTCTTGCGCGGAAAGCAACGCAAATAACTTAAGGAATATAACTCCGATTCAAACTCTGTCAGTTACTATGGATTCATGGAAACGAGATCTTTCCATAGACGTCTTACTCGTTATCTGATTCATTCTGGTGTGATGGGAAAAAGCCTCACAAAACCCCAACTTGAATTGCCCTCTTCCCTCATCTTCTTCCTTTTTTTGCTTATGTCTTGCTTTGCCCAAGTTTCAGTCTGCTTCAGTCTTCGTCACTTAATGCTTCCCATTAGTGTTGAGAACCAAAACTCACTTTTCCACTGTTTCTCCTTGGTGGTGGTGATGATCTCTCCTCCCGTCCTCCGTCACGTCTCCACCTTCATCTCCGTGATACCCTCACCTTCCACGACTGATCTCAATCCCACCAGCTCCGATCTACTACCAATAGACTCAACACTGCGTCACCATCACTGTGGACTGGTCCCGTCTCCATTGGCGTCGATCCCGTGTCATTCTGGTCTGCCGCTTCGTCATCTCCGACGCAACCAATCTCTTTACTTGCCTTTAGTGGATAACGATGCTCACGTTCTCTTTGGTGTGGTGGCTTAGGTGCAGAAATCACAAATTGTGGTTTTGCCAATCTACTCTCTTCCACTACGTCTCAACCCCTACCTCCCCTTCATCTATCTTTCACGCTTTATCACCTCTTTCACGCTTTATCACCTCTTTCACCTCTTTTCCTTTATTCTTAAAATTTTTTACTCGGATGTTATAGAAAAGTATGAATATTACTAGAATATTATACATCCTTTTAAAATTACTCATATGTTTTGAACACTTGTATAATTACAATTAACACCATTGATTAGTTTTTTTTAATTAATATTATTTAATTCGTTTTTTTAATTAAGAAATGAATAAAAAATGATTATCCACGGCATTAATCCTCGTCATTTCTCTAATCCACGTCATTAACTGAAATCGAAAATAATTAAAACCCTTAAGTTTTCCCTCTGTTGTACTGTTCATTCACGTACGGAAAAAAAAAACCGTCTCTCTCTCTCGTCTCTTCCGTCGGCGATTTCCGATTTCTAAACCCTAATTTCGTCGTAGTTCCCTCTTTCTATCGTCTCTTCTGACCGAAACTCTCAAGGTTGTGTCGCATTTCAGCTCAACTAAAGTCGGGACCTATCGAGTCGCATTTCAACTCAACTTGTTCCGGTAAGTGTCGAAACTAACTTTATTTCGAATTTTCCAAAAATAATCCGGCATCTAAGTTCAATAACAAGTGATTCCTGTGACTGAAACCGTTTTCCGAAAACTATCGCAATGTAAGATGAAAGGAATCAGACCATGCGCTCAATGCTTGAAGTTTCATATTGTATCGTTGTTTAATTTTAATTTCCTCCTATGTATCCCTCAAACATATTCTTACGTTTCTTAATTTGATTGTTGTTATTTGACCAATAAATTTCATATTGTCTTCCCCAAAAAAATGTTGCTTTCCGATCTGTATTATAAATCAGCCGTAAAGTGATGTAACTCAGCCGTAACATATAATTTACACAACCTTTCGTCTTCCCTGAATGATAACTCAGCCGTGACATGTAAATTTACCGAACCTTTCGTCTTCTCTGAAGCATATAACTCAGCCGTAACATATAATTTACACCCATCTTTCGTCTTCTCTGGCGCATATAACTCAGCCGTGACATGTAAATTTACCAAACCTTTCGTCTTCCCTTAAGCATATAACTCAGCCGTAATGTAATTTTACCGAACTTTTCGTCTTCCCTGGAGTATATAACTCAGCCGTGACATGTAAATTGACCGAACATTTCGTCTTCCCTTAAGCATATAACTCAGCCATGTAAATTTGCCGCAAAACAATAAGAGACGCAACATTTCGTCTAACTTTATCATCGAGCACCAACTTTACATGTTTTGTCGTGCGTTGTTTCCGCATCTATCTGCACAACTCTACATCTTCTTTCATCGGTGTTAAATACGTATTTATGTTTCTATACTCAATTATCGGAAAAAACAATTACCGGAACCGGATCAACCATATCGGGAGAAGGATGAATGAAATTGAAGAAGAATGAGGAAAACGATGAGGAATTGGAAGTTCCGGTGATGAGAAAAACTCAGGTGAAGAAGACAAGTTGAAAAAATTTAACATTTCGTATTTCCTTTGATGATGATGACATGCAATGATGACATGGAATGTTGCATCTGACGTCATTTTTTAATTGATGAAGTGGCAAGTAAGCCACCAAACGAACATGTAAATTTGCCTAAATAAATCAGCCATCAAACAAAGTTATAAGTCGGTCGCAACATGAATACTATTACAGTAATTAAAAAATGAAAAAACGCCAAGTTAATTCAGCCTTCTAATGTCGTAACTCAACCGACAATCTTTAACTCAGCCGTAACGTTTAATAACTCGGCCGTAATTACATGCTATTATAGTAATTAATCTTTCGCTACTAAGTCAGCCGTAACTATAGGCTGAGTTATACTCATAAGTCAGCCATTTTCTCATAACTCAGACATTTTGTCTTAAATGTTGTAACTCAGCCGTAAATGCCGCTGTATCGCTTTAAGGCTAAGTTCATTAATACACGTCAGCGATTTCTGAAGTGGCGACGCGGGTTTACTGACGTGGCAGTTGCATTCCTTGTATTTACGTTTTTTCCTGTAACGTTTAGTAGGGGCACGATGGGTATACAAAATAGGACCGAAATATGATAGTATTAAAAAAAAGTTTTATAACGTTCTGGTAAATACACCTAATTTATATGACATCTGAGTAAATCTCCCTTATTCTTAATATGATATTGATAGCAAAAGCTCAAGACAATTGATTCTCTTCATTTATTTCTCTCATCAAAAGCGGCTAGGGTTTTATCTAAACGGAGACGGAGATGCTTACATATATACACATGTGCACACAACGACTAGACCTTGTCGTTTTTGTGGATTTACATTCACTTGGGCCTTAAATGGGCTGAATCATAATGTTAAAACAAAATGGTCCAAAAAGATGGGAACAGGGTGTTACACCCATTAATTAAACATAAGATCACAAGAATGAAACAATATTGTTATTTTCCAAATTTACAAACATATAAATCTATATAATAAAACCAACAACATAAAATTTTTGTAGTCTTCAAACATATAATAAATTATTCAAATGTTTGATAAATATATATATATATATATATATATATATATATATATAAATTTAGTAAAATTAAATAACATAAAAATTTTATATGCACATGCTTTTACTAATTTATTTTATTTAATGTGTCTGAACAGAAATTTCGGAGCATTTAAGATATAATACAAGGTGATATGCCAAAAATACATATATCTAAATCGTTACATAAAAAGCAAGCATGAGTAACTTTTGCGAGAAGAAATAGTGTTTGAGAAATGTGACATGGAATACAAATTGACCCTTTCAACCTATATGGGTTAGGAGAAGCATAATTTCCTTTGTACTTTTTCACCTAGAAAGACTTCAATTCGTAAGGAAGATTCAATGCAATATATACTCTTGATACCACACATCGGTCAAAGAGGTTTATTACAAAAAACCATAAAGTAGAAAATTACAAAACACAAACGAGTTATTGGAGAACGCTGATGGTAAATTCTTACAAACTTGACAAATGCTTAGAAGGACAATTCAACGAGCACTTCTGATGACAACTCTTGGTTTGTTTCTACGAAACTTTTCCATGAACCACTCCTGCTTAACGAAGATATGTCCAATCACCAATCCGCAAAAAACACCAGGTCCATATGCTATTGCTGCTGCTATCCAGTTAATCACTTGTTCTTTAGGCTCCGACAATTCCTCCGATCCTTGTGGTGTAAGATCCGGGACAGGAGGTTTTCCACAGATGTCCTCGAGATTGGAGATTCTAGGATTGTCCATGAATGAAGAACAATTTTGGCGCTGAAACTGTGTGCCTCGTGGTATTGGACCTTCGAGATTGTTGTGTGAGAAGTTCATGGTTGATAGAAAGGTGAGGATACCAAGCTCTTGAGGAATTTGACCTGACAACTGATTCCGTGATAGATCTAATTCTTCAAGGTTTGTCAAATTAGCCAATGATTGAGGTATATTGCTTGTGAATGCATTACCAGACAAGTTGAGAAGTCGCAATCTCTTCAACAATCCAATGGATTCGGGGATTTTTCCATGAAATTTGTTTTCTGAAAAGTCAATGGCTATAAAGTCTTTTCGGATCCTCTCAAATTCTGTATCTACGCCTTTGTGCACCATTTCCATTGAAAAGCGGTAGTAGTCATCGTAATGCACAATATGTTCCATGTATTCTTCACCATCATCTTCTGCGTTTGATGTGATCATTTCATGCCAGTTGGAAAAATAGAAACCAGGGAAGGTTCCAGTGAAGCCGTTATGTGAGACATCGATGATTTTTAAATATTCAAACCCTATGGATACATGTTGATGATACAAAGGCCCATAAAATTGGTTGGATCGCAGGATGAAGACATTTAAAGATGATAGAGAGCCCAACCAAAATGGAAACTTGTCCTTGAAGTGGTTGCTTTCCACATTCAAAATCTTCATAGCTTTGCAATTAAGCAAGGATTTTGGAAGCTTTCCTTCCAACCGGTTGCGACTAATGTCAAGTGCCTTTAAAACAGTAGCATTGACAAACATATCTGGAAGAGTTCCACTGAAATTGTTGTTTCGCAGATTAAGCACTTGAAGGAGCTCAGTGAAATTCCTTAAACATTGAGGAATTGACCCACTAAACCTATTGTTGGACAGGTCTAATAACTGTAAAGAATTTTTAAGCTTGCAGATCCAATGGGGAAACGGTCCATGGAATGAATTCGAATCAAGAAGCAAAACACGCATACTTTGTCGTTCGAAAACTTGTGATGGTGTACCAAAACTGCTAAAAGAGTTGTTAGAAAGTTTCAACTCATCCCATAATCTCCATAAGGAACCTGGTACTTTACCTTCGAACTTATTGTAGGAAAGATCAAGGTAAGAGAGGTAGACAAACTTAGATATATATATGGGGATCGGCCCAATGAAATTGTTGAAGCTAAGATCTAAGACGTCGAGACTGAGAAATTTAGAAAAGGATTCAGGGATTGCGCCATAGAATTTGTTATGACCGAGGTCTAGAAGACTAAGTCTAAACGATGAAGATGAATTCCCAAACTCTAGAGGTCCCTTGAACTCGTTTCTCACTAAATAAACCGATTGTAACGAAGGAATCAAGAACAAGGATGTAGGAAAAGATCCAGAAAAGAAGTTTCCCCTCACATCAACATACTCCAAGTTGTGGAGTCGACTCATGTCAGGTGGAAGCTCGGATTCAAAGTAGTTATCACTGAGGTCAAGGTCGATCAGTTTCGTTAAGTTGGCAAATGAAACAGGCATTTTGCCACTTAATTTGTTACCCCTAAGTCTCAGATACCTTAGTTGGGTTAAGTTTCCAATTGAAGCTGGAATTTGACCAACAAATTCATTACCGAAAAGGTCAAGATACATGAGATGAGAAAGGTTTCCTAATGAAGAAGGAATCTCTCCATAGAGATCGGAAAGGGATAGGTTTTGAAGATATTGGAGTTTGAAAAGACCACTATTTGGTTTCAAAGTGTTGTTGAGAATGACGGAAAAAAGGTCAAGTGAAATCACCTTGCCAGATTTAGCATCGCACGTGACACCCTCCCAAGAACAGCAATCCCTGCTCTTGTTCCATGAATGTATATGATAAGCTTGTGGGTTGGATTCATTCACTGGAAACTCGTGTTTGAACTCCAGAAGAGCATCCCTCTGGTCATGGCCACAACGGTTGAGCGTAGAAGAAGCAAGAGTGTGTAGTTCGAGAGAAACCAAGACGAAGAAATACAAGGTAAAAAAGTAGTAAGATTTGCTTCGAAACATCATTACTACCATTTTGTTTTTCTTTGTTGAGTTTGTGACAATAGGTTATAATTATTGCTTCTGCGGCAGGCTCTCTTTAAAAAGACAAATAAAAGTTGATTTTTCTACTCTTCCTATCCTCTCTATGATCACTGCTTTATTTCACTTTTCTCAAATTTTTCCACAAAGACCATTGACTCATTCCTTCCACCTCATAATTACTCATCACCCACTATTCTATTGACTTGACCTTGGCCACTAGCGACTGAAAACTTCCCACTGAATTTTCTGAAAATTATTAACTCCAGCGACCAATTACTTTCGGAAAGACGAAGAAGAGTGACGCTGGTATACCTAAACATAGTGAATAGAAATGCTGGAAACAGAGCCAATTTATAAGTGCTATTATATTCTGAAAACATTAGCTAATTTATCAATTAGGCACAATAGTTAAAGATGCAAACTGAAAGGCCTTGCAAATTAAAGCAGCAAGAAACTCAGTTTTTAATCTGTAATGACATCAAACATCCATAAACCTATTAGCATGGCACCTTAATGTTTGTACGGTAATTTCCGGTGGAACAAGACGGAGAATCATTGCTGGCTATAGCTGCAAGTCGGTGTTATTATGAGATAATTTTTTTACTACACGTAAGTTTATGTATGTTTACAATGAAATAAAGTGTATTGTATACATATCTCAAAATTATCACAATCTATATTATTAATTGGGAATCACTAGATATTAAATAACCTTATAAAGGGTAAAATATTACATAAGATGTCATTGATTTTTAGTGTTTTCAAATATATTCATTAAGGGTACAATAGTAATCACAAAATTAATATATTTAAATAAAAAATAAATATAGTAAAATTCTTTTAAGTAATTATTAATTTCCAAAAAATTAAACTCACTTTCTCTCTCCTATTAATTATAGACGAAAATTTGAAATTAATTCTAAAAAATTGTTAACCAATGAGAATTGAAAAACTAAGATTTGATATCCAACTAAGATTTTATTTAAACCAATTCTAATAGACTATTCTACATCAAAAATAAAATGAAAAATAGTATCATTTTAATTCAAAATTAAAATACTATTGTTTAAAATTTTTTATCAATGGAGAATTTTAAGATTACATTTGAAATTTCGTAAAAAATTTAATTACAAATATTTAAGATTCAGTTTTATTATATTATTTTCACAATTTTTGAAATATAAAACAAAATTTTATTTCACAATTTCTTAAAAACGATATTAGATATTAACAAATATTTATAGGGAGACTCACAAAAATGCCCCTTTTTTAATACCCCTTTTCAAAAATGCCCTCTTTGGCTGTCCATTTTTAAAAATACCCTTTTTTATGTACAAAATGACTAAATTACCCTTCTTTTAATAAAAGATATCACAAATATATAAGGAAATATAACAAAATTAGGTCCACAAAATACAAAATATTTTTTGGCGGGAAAAGTGATCCCGCAATTTTTCCCGCCAAAACACTTGTAAAAACTTGTAAAACCTTTAAAATACCTTGTAAAATTTTCCCGTAAAACTTTTTCCCGCCAAAAAATTTTTTTTGCGGGAAAAGTGATTCCGCAATTTTTTTGGCGTTAAATTTTTGGCGGGAAAATATTTCCCGCCAAAAATTTACAAGGTATTTTAAAGGTTTTTTACAAGGTATTTATAAAGTTTTACAATGTATTTTAAAAGGTTTTACATCGTATTTACAAGGGATTTATAAGATATTATAAGATTTTACAAACTATTTTATAAGGTTTTTACAAGTTATAAGGTTTTACAAGTTTTTTATAAGGTTTTACAAGTTATAAATACCTTATAAAACCTTATAAGTACCTTGTAAAACCTTTTAAAATACATTGTAAAATCTTACAAAACACTTGTAAATACTCTGTAAAACCTTTAAAATACCTTGTAAATTTTTCCCGCCAAAAATTTTCCCGCCAAAAAAATTTTGCAAAAAAAATTGCGGAATCACTTTTCCCGCAAAAAAATTTTTTTGGCGGGAAAATTTTTTGGCGGGAAAAATTTTTACGGGAAAATTTTACAAGGTTTTTTAAAGGTTTTTACAAGTGTTTTGGCGGGAAAATTGCGGGATCACTTTTCCCGCCAAAAAATATTTTGTATTTTGTGGACCTAATTTTGTTTCAAATAAGGGTAAAATGGTCATTAAAAATTAAAAGAGGGCAAACTTAAAAATGGACTCTCAAAGGGGGCATTTTTGAAAATGGGTATTGGAAAAGGGGCATTTTTAACAATTTCTCTATATAACTATGAAATAAACTCAAATAATGATAAATTTAAAGTAACTATCATTATGGCCTTCGTTTAGAGCAAGTTTCAGAAATATCTAAACAATAGATTGTACATATTAATTTCAAAGTATTTTGTGTTTTATTGTTTTCCTTTTCAATCGGATCTTCCTTAAATAAATCCATGATATATTTTACACAGTTTTCGAAATAATGTGAACTAATTATATTTTTTGCATTAAAAAAAAAAAATGCAGCAATAGCTATAGTTGTATCTCAAATTTTTATTTTTAGTCCAAAAAATCGAATTAATTATGATTAAACAATGAAAAGAAAAATATCTAAAATTTAGCTAAGGAAAGAAACATTAATAAATTTGTTAAAATATATTTATAGCTTTAACAGCATACATATTAATCCGCAAAACTAACTGTATATATTGTATGGTATTTAAAGATAAGGAAACAAGAATTTGGAACTTATAGAATGAAATGAGAATACGAATTACGAGACGGGATGAGAGGGAAACATAAATTAAAAATCAAACTAAATACCGAACTGGTATGAGTTCGGGTTATGAGTACTATATAAAATAAAATTTGTTTACATACATAACCATGTACGTTTTTCAGTTACACATATTCTATTTATGACGGATACGGGATCCTAATATTTTTATTTCACGTATACGTGACAGGTTATGGGACAAAGAATTTATGACAAATACATGATGGGATAGGTTTCACGTTCCAAAATAGATACGCCTAGCTAATATACATGAAATAACCCAAACTAAAACCGAATCCATATCCATTTTAACATCTGTAATCAAACTGTTAGAAATGTTTTGAATAGTTTAGAAAATAATAAACATGTAACATCATTTAACTTTTGTAACTAAATTAGTCCGGATCTTAAAATATAATTATGCACTTATGCAACTGAATTTTGTTTATTACTCTAACTTTATAATATTTATATTATTACGAAGTTTAAAATCTATATAACAATTTCTATAATAATATCTCTGCACTTACGCGTAGATCCAGATCTAATACACTAAACTATATATCATAAAAACAACAAAATAATTTATATTGAATTAAAAATTGTTATAAATTCTTTTAAAATATGAAACCCCGTACGTAAGTGCGGGTCAGGATCTAGTTGTTTTCTAAAAAAGAACTACACCAAGATTTTGTAGAACAATAATAGAAAGGGACAGAAAACAGATTTCTCAGAATTATTCCTCCAAATGCAACAAGTTTAAACAATGGATAATACATATATACTAATGAAACATTCTCTTTAAACGCAACACTTAGTGGTAACTTAAGATCAAAATCACCCAAATCTCATAAAACAGAGCCATAGATCCAATTTTAAAAAAAAATTCTTGATCAATTGCGTCGGATCTAAATCAGAAACAGATCAAATACTCAATAAAGCTAAACCCAGTGTGAATCAAAGCTCTAATAAGACAAGTTTTGAAGCTGCATTTGTGAAACACACAAGAGGGAAGACAGATTCAGATACATAGGTGATTTTGGAAATCTTGTGGAGCAAGTATGCAACATGGAAATCTTTGTGACTGACCATTCCGATATATTATTCCAAGTATGCAACAGGGAATTTTCTACTACTGGAAATTAAGACAAGAAATAAACCGATGCTTCATTTTGTTGGAATCTCATCCTTTGATTAATATGCACCAAAAGAAACACAATCCAATGTAAATGCAAGAGCTACTAAGTTTTGAATTAGTTCACGATGTAACTCAGAATTTCTCAAAAACTCTTTCGATTAATAGAAAATATGTTTACAAGGTTTCTCCTTTAACACTATTTTCTATTCTCTCTAAGTCTTGTTCCTTAATCACAGACCGATTAAGAACAATAACTCTCCTTAAAACCCTTAGCTCTCTTTAAGCCTCTAGTTCTCTATTTCTCTCAAACTAAGACTTAATAGCTAGGAATTCTCTCTCGTGATTGTGCTAAGCTTTCTACAAGCCTTAGCACCCTATTTATACTAAATAGGTTGAGACCATACAACAGGTCGATTTCCAATTCTAAAACTAATTGGAATGGACAATTTCCTTTTTCTTTATGGAATAGGAAATTGTCCTTTGTCTTCATGTTTTCCTTTTCTTCTTGCAAAAGGAAACTCTTCAGTCTTCTAGAATCTTCTCTAAGCTTCTAGTCTTCACTTCAAACCGCCATAACAAGATTCTGCATATTTCCTTAATCTTGTTCATGTTGCTCTGTTCTCTTGAGTTACTTTTTGACTTAGTTCAGGTACTCCTTCAGAAGCTGCATCTTCAATCTCCCCCTTTTTAATCTTGTGTCTCTCAAGCACCTGCATTTGAAATCTTCTATCTTTTGTAGACATTTTTCATCTCAAGCAATCACAAAATTTAAACATCCGAAGTTTTAAAAACTTTTAGCAACATTGTCCAACACAAATTAACTCCCCCAGAATCTGAGAATCAAGCAACAACAAAGTCTGGAGTTTAAACAAAAATATCAAATAACTACTCCCCCACAACACATGAACTCCCCTAGAATCATAGCCATACTTCTTTTTCTCCCCCTGCTTGAGAGCTCAAGGTTAAAAACCAAACTTTCCTACAGTCTTTTGGACAAAGGATGACTGAGAACAAGTTGTTGAATCACTTCATTCATCTTGGAGATAGCTTGAGCTGTGTCTAACAAAGCCATAAACATTCCCTCTCTATCGTCCTCATCAGGGTGAGGCAGGCGGATGCTTCCAATGTCCACAACAGTATATCCTTGATACTCTGGATTAAACTGAGAAGAAGGATATACATTTTGAGGAGCTGTTCTTGAAGTATTTGGCTGAGTGCTATCTTTTGCTTTGCCCTTTATCCTTTCAGTGTAAGCTTGACCAGTTCTAACATCCTTTTTGTAGAACTTAGGAGTTACAAACTTTCTCCAGAATAGACTGTCACTTCTTTCTGACTTATGAGCATTCCATAGATGATTCGGGGAAACACCAACCATCTTTCATCCCTGTTCTGAACAAGTGACATTACTTGATTGAAGATCATCTTTCCAAAATCAAATCTGATTCCATGGAAGATTTTGTAAATCAGCTGAGCTCTTTCTACTGATACATAATCCGGATTTGATGAAGGAATCCAATTCTGAGCAGTGATTCGTAGAAGAGCTCCAATTCGAGGAGAAAAATTCTTGAATACTAAATCTTCCCAGCCAGTCTTCTCATCTTCACTTAGCAGTTCTGCAAGTTGTTCTTTTCCAATAGAATCAGCATCACTATCTGCCTTAAGTTCTTCTTTGGTTAAACCCTTAAAACCAAGAAATTTATTGATTTTCTTTGGTGAAAACTCATAATCATGCCCTCTGACAAACACACTGACCTTCTCAGCATTTTCTTCAGACTTTTCACAAGGAAGATTTGCGTAAAATTCAGATACTACTTCCCGCACATAACTTCCAAGATTTGTTACTGTAGATTCCAATCTAGCATTCTTGATCAAGGTTAAGTAACCCCAAGAATCTTCTTTTTCTAAATCAATCAGGCGTTCCTCAATCAAGTTTCTATTTTTAAACAAATCATACCTTGCTTTAGCTTGAGGTGATGAGAATAGCTTTGACCGAAAGCTTTTCTTAGAAGAACTTTTGCCTGACTCAGAAGCTTTGATAGATTTGCTCTTCTTTGAGCTTGATTCATCCTTCTTCTGTTTCTTCTTTGGAGGAGCTAGACCTAGCTGTTTAAAGATTCTTTTCTTACGAACTTCCTTCTCCTTCTGATTTTTCTGAAATTGTTCCTCAACAGTCATCTCAGTAGGCTCAATTTCAACATCTGAGACGTGGATTGGTTCATCTCCAACCCTTTCCTCTGTAACTTCAACATTTCTGTCAACTATTTCTTCTTCAATCTGTTCTGCATGTGACCCGATAACATTCTGTTCAGCTTGTTTTGAGAAAGTAGAATCTTGCTTCTGATTCTGCTCTGATTGATCACGAATTTCATCATTCTGAGATGAATCAAACCTGCTTCTTCAAATTCATTTCCCAAATTCTTAATTCCTTTCGTTGGCCCAGCTTCTGTTGAATCATCGTTTCTAAGTACCGTTTCTGTGGGCACATCTTCCTCATTAAGTTTGTCTTCTTCGATTTGTTCAGAAAGAACCTCAGTTTCTTCATCAGATTTCTTTGATTCTCCTTCAGGTTTCCGAAAATCCTTTGACTCGCTGCTCTTATGTTCTTCAAAAGCCGTTGCAAAAGAGTCATCTTCATCGACAAAAGGAATGAGAGAAAGAGGTGTTGCAATAGATCTCGCTGGTTCTTCGATGGGTTCATCAATCAGTTGAGGGTTTTCTGAACCACCATCAGATCGAGTTTCTCTAGCACGTCTCCCTCCTCCGATTAGTCCTCTTCGTGTAGCCTTCACCATTGTAGCGATTTGAGAGTTTTTCTCCAAGGAATTTCTTGCTTTTTTTTTTTTTTAGGGTTTTCGGAAACCTTTTGTTTCTCCGTTTTGTTCTTCTCCCAACGAATATTTTCACAAAGATTTGAGAAAATCTTGTTATGATTGCTTATTTTTTAAAATTCAAAAACTCGATTTTTGTCAACAACAAACCGGAATAAACCAATCTTGGAGCTTCTATTGAGATAGTCTGAACCCGAAATTTTGAATTAAACCGTATCTTCATAACCATATCAGCTCTCATGTTCTCTGACTGAGTCAGATCATAGTTCACATACTCCAAGTGAATTTCTTAATGTGACGAACCTGTTGAAATCCAATACCTTTGTAAAAATATCTGCCAGCTGAATCTCTGTCCCAACATGATCAATCTGAACCTTCTTTTCTTCAACCAATTCTCGAATAAAGTGATGTCTCACATCAATATGTTTAGTTCTTGAATGTTGAACCGGATTTTTAGAGATATCTATAGCACTCTGATTATCACAGTAGACTTGAAGAACTCCAGCGTCGATTCCATAATCTGCTAACATTTGCTTCATCCAAAGTAACTGAGTGCAACAACTTCCCATGGCAATATACTCAGATTCTGCGGTGGATATTGACACAGAGTTTTGCTTCTTACTCAACCACGCAATTAGATTGTTTCCAAGAAAGAAACATCCTCCACTTGTACTCTTTCTGTCATTCACATTTCCTGCATAATCAGCATCACAGTACCCAACCAGATTTTGATTTGAGTTTCTTGAATACCAAATACCAAGATCTACAGTTCCTTTGACATACTTCAGAATTCTCTTCACAGCTTCAAGATGAGACTGTTTAGGCTTTGCTTGATATCTAGCACAAACTCCAACACTCAGACATAAATCAGGCCTACTAGCACTTAGATATAAGAGACTTCCAATCATTCCTCTGTAAGTTTTGACGTCTACATCTGTTCCATTTTCATCTTTTGATAATTTCAATGAGGTACTCATAGGAGTTTTAGCTTCTTTGTATTTATCCATTTGAAACTTCTTCAAGATCTTCTTAGCATAAGTACTCTGTGAGATGTAGATTCCTTCATCCGATTGAACTATCTGCAATCCCAAGAAATACTTCAATTCACCTACCAAACTCATTTCAAACTCTTTTGTCATGTTCTCTATAAACTGATCCACCAACTTCTGAGAAGTACTCCCGAAAATAATATCATCAACATAAATCTGCACCATCATGATCTCTTTGTTTTCTTCAAGAATAAACAAAGTTTTATCAACACTTCCTCTGTTGTAACCTTTCTCAAGTAGAAAGTTAGTCAGCCTTTCATACCATGCTCTAGGTGCTTGTTTGAGTCCATATAGAGCCTTCTTTAACTTGAAAACATACTCAGGCTTCATCATATTTTCAAATCCTTTAGGTTGCTCAACGTATACTTCTTCTTATAGTATACCATTTAGAAAAGCACTTTTAACATCCATTTGATGAACCGTGAAGTTAAGAATACAAGCCATTCCCAAGAAAAGTCTGATTGATTCAAGTCTTGCTACAGGTGCAAACGTTTCTTCAAAGTCAACACCTTCAATTTGATTATACCCTTGTGCTACCAATCTTGCTTTATTTCTGACAACTACTCCTTTTTCATCACTCTTGTTCTTAAAAATCCATTTGGTTCCTATAATATTTGTATCCGCAGGTCGTTTAACCAATTCCCAAACTTCATTTCTTTCGAACTGTTCTAGCTCTTCCTGCATAGCAATGATCCAGAAATTATCTTCAAGTGCTTCAACATGATTCTTTGGTTCAACGGATGAAACAAAGCATTGAAACTGCAAAGTTTCCCATTCTGCAAAATTACTTGTCATCTTCTTGAAATCAAGCTTTACACCTCTGGTTTTCATCGGATCTTGGAGATCTCCAATGATGTCTGATGATGAATGATTTTTGTGTACCTGAATTTTCTGAGCTTCTTTGTGACTATCTTCTTGTTCTACCGATGAACCATCCACTTTTTCTTTAACCTCTTTATTGGTTATCTCATCCGGTTCTGTGTCACTTTCTTCAAGTTCTTCACTAACCTTTGACACATAATGATCATCAAATACAACATTAACTGATTCCATAATAGCACACGTTCTTTTGTTGTAGATTCTGAATGCTGTACTAGTCTCTGAGTAACCCAGAAACATGCCTTCATCACTTCTGGAATCAAATTTTCCAAGGTAGTCTTTGTCATTCAGTATATAGCATATGCATCCAAACACGTGAAAGTAGCTCAGATTCGGAGTCTTTCCTTTCCATAACTCATATGGAGTCTTCATCGAATCTCTTCTCACATAGACCCTATTGACGATATAGCATGATGTATTTATTGCTTCTGCCCAAAACCTCTGTGGAACCTGATTTCCATGTATCATTGCTCTAGCCATCTCTTGAAGAGTTCTATTCTTCCTTTCTACAACCCCATTTTGTTGAGGTGTTCTTGGAGCTGAAAACTGATGAGCAATTCCATGCTTTTCACAAAAATCTTTCATGGACTCATTTTGAAATTCTCCACCATGATCACTTCTTATTCTTTTAATACCTCCTCTCTCATTGATAAGCTGAAGAGCCCATATTCTGAAACTATCTGCTGTTTCTGACTTCTCTCGAATGAATCTCACCCATGTATATCTAGAAAAATCGTCTACCAATACAAACACATACTTCTTCCCAGCTATGCTTTCAATTGGCATTGGCCCCATTAAATCCATATGTACCAAATCAAGTGCTGACTTAGTCTGAACATCTGGAACTTTCTTGTGCTGCACTTTGACTTGTTTCCCTTGATTACATGGTCCACACATCATCTTATCTTCATCTTTAAGCTTAGGAACTCCTCGGATAATTTCTTTGTCAACCAAAGTAGTCAGATTTCTTGTATTCATGTGACCTAGACGTTGATGCCATAGATTAAGGTTGTCTCGTGCAGAAAAACAGTTGGTTGTACGATTTTCCCACATGTAACAATTGTTTCCTGTTCTCTTACCTCCTAGAACAATGTCACCGGTTTCATCAAACGCTTTGCAATCTTCTTTAGTGAAAGTAACTTCTAGACCTTCGTCACACAACTGACTCACACTAATAAGATTAGCCTTTAATCCACGAACAAGATATACATTCATCAGCTGAGGTAGCTCTACATCACTAGTTTTTCCTTTACCTGGTATATCTCCATGACCTCCATCACCAAAAGTTACTTTACCTCCTTTGATTTTCTTGATGTCTTGTAAGTAATCTTTTGTGCCTGTCATGTGGCGAGAACACCCACTATCAAAGTACCAAGGACTCTTTTTCTCGCATTCCTCTGTGACTAACGCCATGTTGCATCTAAAACCAAGTCCTGCTCTACTTCCTGTATCTCTTTCTGCAGTTCTTCTGACTAGTGTTGGATATAGATCAATTTTCTTTACCCAGATTTGATGTTTATACCCATTCCATGTAAACTTCCTTTGATACCTGAGTTTTCCCACTTTCTCCCAGTACTTGTAACAATGAATATGTGCCCAATCTTTCCACAGAAATAGCATCCGATGCCTTTTAAAACACTTTTTCTTGATTCATCTTGTGCATGATGAGATATTCCTCCAGACACAAACTTGGTTTGACCTGTGCTTGTTTCTCCATGACCAGTGTACCCTAGTCCTCTGTTTGTTTTTTCTGTCCTTCCATAGCTTAGAATCTGATCTAGTTGTTTTGTTCCAGCAAACATGTGAATCTTCCGATGTTGTTGATTAAGTTCTGTTTGTAGTCCTACAGATATCTTCCTTTCAGCGATCAGTTCTTTCTCCAAATTATCAGCTTTAGCAGACAAGCTTAGTTTTTCTTTCATCAAACTCAAACTTTCTTTGCTAATCTTCTTTTCATCTTCTAGTTGATTCTGTAATAGTTCAACAAGTGATTCGAGACGTATCTTTTCTTTCAGCAAATCTTGATTTTCTGTTCCAAGTTTAATCAAAGTTTCTCTCACCTCTTTGTAACTTTCAACAAAATTCACTTGTTGTTCTCCATCTGATTCAGAGTCAGTTTCTTCTTCACCTTCAACAAACTCAGTAATGCCTATCAATGCTACATAATTTAAGGTGTCTTCTTCTTCACTCTCTTCCTCAGATTCTTCTTCAATACCAATCATTGATTTCTCTTTTCGACTACTGATACAGTCATCTTGAGCATGTCCCATTCCTTTGAATGTTGTGCATTTAGTTTCTCGTTTCTTGACTGTTGGACATTCACGAATAAAGTGTCCATACCCTTTACATTCATGACATTGCATGTCAGCTTTCTTTGATGGTTTGGTATCGTCAGAATTCTTTTTGAATGATCCAAACTTCTTCTGTCCTTGTCCTTGTTCTGCTCTCTTTAACAATCGATCAAACCTTCGAACTAACAAACTCAAAGAATCTTCTTCTTCTGTTTGAGATTTGCTTTCACAAGATGTCAACGCCAACCCTTTTGGTTTCTTAGTTCCTCCTAATTCAAGCTCATGAGCCTGAAGCATCCCTACAACTTCAGCAAAACTGAGAGTATCAGTATTATTCGAAACTGTTAGAGCTGTTTTATACGCCATAAATCTCGGAGGTAGACATCTTAAAAATTTCTTAACCAACTTCTTGTCTTTATACTTCTTCCCAAGAGTTAAAGCTTCTTGCGCCAATGAACTTAGTTTAGAGCTGAAATCAGAGATTGAATCTTGCTCATCCATCTTCAGATTCTCGAATCTTGAAGCTATCAAATCTTTTCTTGAAGTCTGAACCTTAATCGTTCCCTCATAGTGTGTTTGCAGAATATCCCAAGCTTCCTTAGCAGTTTCACAGCCCTGAATTAAGTCAAATTGTTTCCTCCCAACACTGCAGTGAATAGCTGTGAGAGCTCTAGCATTGAATTTAGACTTTTTCTTCTCATCTTCAGTCCAGTCTGACTCGGGTTTGGCTGTGAAGCTTCCATCT